AGTAAAACATGAAAAACAAATTTTGTTTCAAGTGACATTTCCCAGGAAAATAAAAATTAAAAAGTTCAACCAAAAACAGAGTTCCTCAGTGAGTGACTAAAGAAAGTGTTTCTTATTAAGGTGGCAGAAAAGAAGACCAATGCATTACTTAGCTTTGCCATTAAGTAAATATAACATAAGGCAATCAATTCCTCAGTAAAAACATCACAGTTTCCCTGCTTCCATTTTTTAGTATGGTGAGGGGTAAACTGAAGCAACAGAGCAGGCAGATAACCATTTAAGTTAAGGGCTATGCAGACTGTTGACACCAGTTTCTGAACTAGCATGGTCAGAATGGACCACTGTGTTGGACTAGAACTGAATCCACAAGCATCAGTTGGTTAAGGTTATGCATCTGCACATCATCAAATCACCATATCAAACACAATAGACCTCAGAAATGCAAACACGGTGGTGTAGTATGAGTACAGAGTAATTATGCTGGGTGCATAGAGCGAGAATGGACAACACAGCAAATACAAGGGAAGTAGCCAAAAGTCACACTCATAGAAAACAAGTTACAAAAGCTCTAAAGGTGCTTTGTTCTACAAAGCAAAACCAGTATCCAAGTCCTGTTACTTCCTTTGCTTACAACTCATTGTGACCTGTGCTTCTGTTACCAGTTTCAGTATGTAAAATTAGAGAAACAGAAGTACCAAAAATAACTACTATTTCTAATTTCTCTAAAGAAAATTTTCTCAGTTACAACCTGTAAATTTACCAAGTCTATACACTTAGTATAACACAATTCTTCTATAATTATAGTATCTTCTCAAAGGGTTAGTTACAGAGGTGACATTTGTCACTAAATTGAGGTCAGAGGAAAAAAAACTCTATGTCCAGCATTGAGAAATACCAGGGTAAAAAAAGTTTTCACTTAGTAGTAAAACTAGTACATTTGCATATCACTATTGTCACGTGAAAGGGGGGAGTTTAGATTTTTGCCTGTCAGTGCCCCCAGGAAAGTCGAGACCCTTGTATCCAGCAGTCTGTCGGCGTCTCGTAATGAGACCCTTCACCAACAGATTCACAAGATCAGAGGATGCTTCGACTACCCTTGTCAGGGAGGACTCAACAGAGTGAAGATCCCTCAGTGGATCCTGCCAAGGTGTTTTCTGCTGTTGGCAACTGAAAGGACTCACTTTAAAAGTTCATGGAATAACACTTTTTATTAATACAAATTGTGACAGATAAGGTTTGAAGGTTGTTGGTGATAGTGTCTACTGCAAAAATATGTTTTAAAGTAATCTACTGATATATTAAGGAAGCACAAGTTCTAATACGAATCAATCTACTAATATACTATAGGGCAAGCACAAACACAAGCTCTAGTCCTAAAAGCAGCATTCAATGTGCATAGAGTATAATTTTTGCCCAAGGCATCCCTGTGGGGCGAGAAGATAGGCTCAGTCTGTCAACTGATCCCAGCAGTTTCAGTGGAGTCTTCTCCAATTTTCCCCCTATCCTCCACTTACTTTTATACTATTTCTTTATGTTTAGGCAGAGCTTGAGTGGCTTTAGTCATAAATATCTTTTATTTCTGACTGGTGCAAAGTTCTCTCACCATACCTAATGGGAGGGGAGTGGTCATGGTTTGGCACCTGAGGAGGGGGTTTTTACATGGTTGTTTGCTCAGCAGCGGAACACCTTGATTCTCCCTTGGCTGACAGGTACTGTACGGTCTCATGATCTTCAAAGTACCACAATGTTCCCCCTTTCTGCTGGGATTTGAATGGAGGGGGGCCACGTAGTCTCCACTTCGTTCCACACTCCGTTACATTCCTCTGAGCAGATGCTTATCGTTGTATGGAGAGCATGTCAACTACATTCCATCCAGGGAGTAGCTACTGCCTTTTACCCTAGAATTCTTAGTCTCTTCTAAATTTTAACCCTATCTATCATCCCACAACTATGATAGGCAGAAGATCCTGCTGATAGGATGCGACAACAAAAAAGGAGAATAAACTACACCAAGGTGTCAAAGTCAATAAAAAGAAAAAAACCCCTGCCAAATAGAAAGGTAAGGTATTACAAATAGGAAATACTTCATTACCAAAACAGCAGTTTTTTCTTTAAAAGAAGAAACATTTTTATCCTCTTAAATTTAGACAAAATAGCATATTTCAATACATTGTGCCAAAAATTAACTACACCATCAAGTGCATGCCTGTTCCAAGAAAAAAACCCACCTGACATCTTAATAGAAAACTTTTTAACAAACAAAAAAAATGTCCACCACAAATGTGGGGGGCAATTGAGCTGTGGACAGCTTGGGCCCTGAATTTGAGTGGTTGCAGCTGTGAAGTTGTGAAGGAATGTAAACAATGAAGATGAGAAGGTGGACAGGGAGGATGGAGCTGCGGGGCAGCTGTGATAGCCAGAGAGCCTGGACTGTTTGCTGAGTCACCCTGAGTTGCAGAAGCTATAGAGCAACCAATCTTAAGATGTGTATGTAGTAAGGGCACCAATGGTGGTGAAACACGCTGGCTAGGGGAGACTATAAATTAACAATGTTTGTATGAAATAAAGTTTTTTCTGTGTAAAATCCCAGTGTGGTGTCCATCCCGACAACAACACATAAACCCACACTTCTCACAAAAAAACACCCCTACCACCTTTGGCCCAAAACTGTTAGATGCCGCCTTATAAAAACATGTCTTTTTCTGAAGAAGTTAAACATGAACAAAATCTCAGCTTTATATTTTTGCTTTAGAGTTTTAAATTGTAAATTACTTACTATAAAAAGTAGTGTAATTCAAAAATATTTTGAAAGAGGAATGTCTATATATAAGGTATGTTATAAATGTATGTGACATCACCAAGAGTAGTTGTACTTATGAATTAATGCTCCATAGTTTGTACAACCCTTTGTAAAATATTTAAAGAACTAAAACAAACCAAAGAAAACTATAAATATAATACAATAGTTTTTAAATGTGTGGTTAATAAAGAAAATAATTTGACACAAAGTAAGCAAAACAGGTGCTTACTGCATAGATATACTTCTGCAGCTATAAAAGCAAGATCTGGTGATAAAAATATTTTTAACTCATTTTGAAATGCAGTCACTGCTGCCAGAGTACATCTAATATAAAGGCAAACAAAACTTAAATAGATTTTAAAACAATACCCCTGATGCTATGCACTGAGCCAATACTCTGTAAATCAGTCTATTTTTCATGTAATAGACAAATCCAGTCAGTGTAATTATTTTTTCTGTACGTGTAGGAGACTGGAGGAATGGTTGACTGGCTCAAAACAACCAGGTGGAAAAGTGGTGGGGGAACAAGGGTGAGTTCTGCATAGGTGGGCAGCACACTGCTCCCTCCCACCCCTCTGCTGCACAGTGCATGCACATTTGAAAAGTCGGCAGCAGTTGGCACTGTAATGGGGGCGGTCGACCACATGGGACCACAGTAAACCCCAAAATGGCGCCAGGAACATTCTGGCTCTGTGTAAAGTGCAGGCGCGAGACTTTGGCACTGAAATTAGCATAGGTCCACCTGGGGGAGGGGTACAGGGGACCAGAACTGATAAAAAACCAGAAACACAGAATCACAGGATATGCCAAGTTGGAAGGGACCCACAAAGATCATCAAGTCCAACTCCTGGCCCTGCACAGGACCATCCCCAAGAGTCACACCACATGCCTGAGAGTATTGTCCAAATGCTTCTTGAACTCTGGGAGGCTTGGTGCTGTGACCACTTCCCTGGGGAGACTGTTCCAGTGCCCAATCACCCTCTGGTTGAAGAACCTTTTTCTGATGTCCAACCTAAACCTCCCCTGACACAACTTCAGGCCATTCCCTTGGCTCCTGTCACTGGTCACCACAGAGGAGAGATCATTGCCTATCTCTCTTCTTCCCCTCATGAGGAAGTTGTAGACTGCGATGAGGTCTTCCCTCAGTCTCCTCTTCTGTAGGCTGAACAGACCAAGTGCCTTCAGCCACTCCTCATACGGTTTCCCCTCAAGGCCCTGGATTTAAAAGCTGCTGAGACCATGCTGGATCCTAGGGTGGTGCCTATCTACCTCTCTCTCCTTTTTCTTTCTCTTTCTTCTCCTACCTTCTTCTTGAAATAGATGGTAAGTCTGACCAAAAAATCCAGTCAAAGCCTTGCCAAGTGCCTCATTCTATCTGGATGTTCTAAAGTTTGCAAATAAAGTTGTTTGCTATTGAACCTCCTGAGAACTTTGTTGTTTCTCCCATGCCCCGTCCAGAGTAAATCAAACTACCTTCCCCTAAACCCACTGAGCAGGATGGGGCATTACAGCACATGAATAATAAAATTAAATTGCTTTTTTTCCCCCCAAGAAACATGTTCACTGTGAGAATACTCAGTCTTGCAATACCCCACATAAAGTCTTCAAATTAAAGGTTAGTTCTAGGAATTTGAAACTGAAACATCACGGTTTTTTTCCGTTAATAATGATGACTACATTATAAATGGCTAAAGAACAACTGTGTGTGGAAAAAGCAGAACAGTACAACAGCCCAGTTAAGGAAAAGAGTTTTAGTGCACTTTTGTAGTCAACATGCTACATTGCCCTTTTTGCATACAAAGTGGACTCAAGGATTTCCATTTTAAGAAAGAAATTATTTGGCAAGTAAAACACTGTGTCAGGCTGCCTTTTTTTCCCCCAATATACTTGGACATATTAAGACAGAAGCCTTGCTAAATGTTACACAATTCCTTTTGTTTTTATTTTTGAGAAAGTCTGATTTATTACACTGTCACATTGCTACTCAGAAATGCTGCAGTGATGAAATCAATGTTGGGTCAACCCAAGTCCTCATTCTACATTTTTTCACAAAGAAATTACAGTAATGTTCAACACAACATTTCTTGCTTTCTTCTCTAATGGGGTATGTTACTACATCAATTAGAAATTTTTTTCCAAACAATAGATCCCCAAATTTTCATGGGATCAAAACAAGCTTCTACAGATGTTACAGAAATCTTCACACATCATCATCTGATGTATCACTGCTGCTTGTCTCTAAATCGTCATTCTCCAGAGCAGGTTTGAAAGTGCTGTTTTTCCAGGGGCTAAATTTAAAATCACAGATTAAGCCATTTTTCAAAATGCCATTTTTCCGAAGGCCATTTTTTTGTAACTGAAATGAGAAAACAAGATAAAGAAAAAGCTAAACACAACACTTGCATTTCAGCATTCTCTATGTCATCTATGGGCTACATTAGATCCACTGCACAACCTATTTTATATATATATATACACACAAAGGAAAATTCACCTGAGAGCCTTTACTTCTGGGCCAGCCACCTGCATCCAAGAGCCTCCAACTATACTAAACTAAGCTCCTGCAGTGAACAAGAGTTTACCTTCTTCTCACCCACTTCCTCAGATATCTTGCCCCAGTGATCCCTCCCACATTGTCTCTCCTGTGATGCAGTCCCTTTTTTCATAGTATGCTGCAAACACCTGTGCTAAGAAGAGCAGATTCTGCAGTGAGGAAGGGGCCCAGGAAGAGAAGAAGCAGGGAGGAATGGGTATCCCAGTCTGTCCACCTGATGCAGTTGGAAAGTCAAAGACAGTGGAGAGAAAGAAACAATTTATTCTACAAGAAAGAAATTACTGCATTTTCAGACATAGTGCAGAAGCTGGGCAATAATCCAAGCACTTAAGAGTTTAATATTCCAAATGTTCTAATTAGCACCTGCATGGCTAGACTCATGGAAATATCAAATGTTCAGATTTAACACTATGCATTATTCTCCCTTCCAGCCTCTCCTCTCTCACTGAGAGGTATATATACCCTATCAGGTATATAAAACACTCCTAATAAAAAAAAAAAAGTTAAATTTTTTTTTTAATTGGAGTCTACATTGTCTTTTTGGACTTTGTTCCTAGTGAATGAAGAGTCCCTCAATTTCCAACAGAGAAAATTCATATTTTGGAAAGCCAAGGAAACTGCATAAAAACCTTGAAAGAAAATTCCCTTTCCTCAGGCTAAGATGAAGAGTTGGAAAGCCTGTGCAATTCTACTACCAGCAATGCCGAAACTACTCAAAAGCACTCCCCTATCCTTCCCTTGATATTTTGAGAACAGGTCTACTGTATCAGGGCTTATTTAGATGATGCTACTTTGGTCTGTGTTTGGCCCAGCCACTTGTAAAAGTTTGTTCTTTTCCTGCCAAGTTATGAGAAAACAAGCACTGATAAATGAGAACTTCATCCTTGAAGCAAGCATCTTGTATAAACTGAAATTAATTGCTGTCTTATGATTGGCTCATCGCCTTTCAAGGGTGTTTGAAGGAGAAAGTGAAGAGGAGGAGGATGAAGTAAGCCCCCAGACTCATTTAGAAAAGACCCCTGAGGTATAACGTGCAAGCGTGGGGGGAATTCCAAGGTACCCATGCAGGCGCAGAAGAGATGCCACTTGCATAACAAGGGGTGGGACTGAAGGCCTCTAGCTGGGCAGTGCTGGCCACACCTGCCCAGGTAGATGTCACCAATTAATTGTATAAAAAGCAGATAGCTCATTCTGGGGAGGCAAGCTTTACATCAAAGGACAACGTTGCCTTCTGCAGGGATGCCCACTATCTTGTGAGCCTGCCGACTCTCCGAGAATGCAGCTGCTGCTATGGGTAATTCTAGGCATTCTGGGTCGGTAAGATAACTTCATAAGCAACACCTGGGTGACTGTGGGAGTCATACTGAGGGCCTATTTTCCTACTCCTTCCTCTCTTTCAGGCTTTCGTTTTGTTGGCCACCTCTTGGTAATAAATATTGGTCTTTGTTGAGCTTTCAACGGTGTATGGTTTCAGTTTCAGCATCCTTTCGAACTCTCCCTATTACACCTACCTACAATAAGTACTGGTCCCCTATCTTTTTAAAGCAACTATTATTCTGAAAGCACAAGGAGACGAGAGAGAAAAGAAAAAGGGTGCTGAAATGGCAGCATCCATAACCATCAGAATTACTAGAGATCCCCCTTAAAGGTAGACAGGGTAGCCATTCACAAGTTCATAAAGGAACATTAAATTAGCGTTACCTGTTCACTAATGATTTGAAATTCCCTCATCTCATCCTCTGTTAGTGGAGCACATGTTTCATCATTTTCACTGTCTTCCTGCCAGCCCATCTCCTTTAACAACCTTTAAAATAAAAAGGACAACATTAAGGAATTTGCTACACACACTCAGATGTTTCAAGCTCTACCTACGTAGATGTGTAAAAGACCTGTAATAAATGGATTAACTGGTCCATAATTATTTTAAACAAACTGTTACATAAAAGTAGTTCTGTTAAAAGCCTTACAAAAGATATATAAAGCACGAAAGTTGAGTAGTTCTCAGGTCCTTCACAGATGACCCTGTTTTACATCTACATGTTAAATTTCAAAGCTTGCAAAAATTAAACAGTAATACTTTATTCATAGAACATATTCTTATTTTCAAGCATATATCAACGCTATCACTTGCACATACCAAGTACTACATTTCCTGCCATCAGGTTTCACATAGACCCTGCTCTTCTGCCAACCCACTGAACATAAGGACACAAAAGCCAAATTTCATCATATTATCTCACTTAGAATCATCAAGGTTGGAAGAGACCTTTAAGATCATCAAGTCCAACCATCAACCCAGCACTACCAATGTAACCCCTAAACCACATCAACCAGCACCAGATCCAGATGCCTCTTAAACACCTCCAGGGATGGTGACTCCACCCCCTCCCTGGGGAACCTATTCCAATGCCTGACCACCCTAACAGTGAAAAAAATTTTTCTACTATCTAATATGAATCTCCCCTGTATCAGCTTGAGCCCATGTCCTCTTGTCCTCTCACTGCAGGCACAGTAGAAGAGACTGGCCCCCACCTCCTACAACCTCCTTTCAAGTAGCTGTAGAGAGCAATGAGGTCTCCCCTGAGCCTCCTCAAGACTAAATTAACCCAGCTCCCTCAGCTGTTCCTCATAGGACATGTTCTCTAGTCCTTTCACAAGCCTTGTTGCCCCTCTCTGGACACGCCCCAGCACCTCAATGTCCTTTTTGAAGTGAGGGACCCAGAACTGGACACAGTACTCGAGGTGCGGCCTCACCAATGCCAAGTACAGGGGGATGATCACTTCCCTGGTCCTGCTGGCCACACTATTTCTGACACAAGTCAGGATGCCATTGGCCTTCTTGGCCACCTGGGCACACTGTTGGCTCATGTTCAGCTGACTGTCAAACAGCACACCCAGGTCCCTTTCTGCCAAACAGCTCTCAAGACACTCTTCCCCCAGCCTATAGCTGCACAGGGTTGCTGTAGCCCAGGTGCAAGACCTGGCACTTTGCCTAATTGAACCTCATGCAGTTGTCCTTGGCCCATTAAACGAGTCTGTCCAGGTCTCTCTACAGAGCCTTCCTACCATCAAACAGATCAACACTCCCACCCAACTAGGTGTCATCTGCAAAGTTACTGAGGGTGCACTTGATCCCCACAACCAGATCATCACTTCATGATCTTTATTACCAGCTGAAAAAAGGCTGACAGCTTTTCATATTCTGTTTCAATTGGATGGCTGCTCTCCAGGACTGCCGCAATAAAGAAAGCAAAAGATATAAGAATTTGGATCATCTGCAAGTTCAGCTGTTGATGCACAGGACTTCTCTTAAAAGCATATCTGGTATTGGGACTATGGACTTTATAGCCCATTAAGCTGCAACTTCCATAGTCAATATATTTGCATAAGAAGTTATCAAGGGCAAATGACTTTAGTACAATCAAGTGACCCTGGCTACACTAGTTCAAGCAGGAAAAAAGCAGAATCTAAGCAACTACCTTCATTTTAAGACAAGAAATCTCTGTCAGGTGGAAAAGTAAGAATGTATCTCCTTTCCATAACTGCTCTGATGGAGCAGCAGTGTAGGAATGCTGGCGATGTTCTTCCATGAGAACCAACATCAGAGGTGGTTCCTCATCTCAGACCCATAGTATCTTCTGCATCAAGTTTGGAGACAGAGGTAATGCACATGAGAGAAACAGCATTGACCCTAAGTGACAGAAGCACGATTCAGGATGCAACGGCCTGTTTCTTTTTTTCTAGTACATGCTAATGTCAGAGCCAGGATAGGCTTTTTTGCAATTGAATCTCCCCTGACAGCTGATGCTGATATTCCAGCATAGACAGACTAGGAGTGATTTTGGGATGAAGGGAAGAAAATAAATGGAGACAGATTCCTCCCATGACTACACAAGTCTAGTATAAAGTATATTCTGTGTTAAATTAGTACGTCTGAAATTTAGACTTTGACAGTATTCATTAAACATTTTATGTGTTCTCAGTTTTCAGATTCTGACTTCTGAACTAGTAAGAATTTAAGACATGCTTGTTTACCATAAAGGAACACTCTTTATATTATAATAAAGTACATACCTATGCTCTGCCTCAAGTGAGCTTGAAAGAACATCTGCCTGAGGGAAAGCTGAAGATTGAATGACCTGTTGAGCATTGCCATTCTCTTGCGGAATTTCATTTTCAAAGTTTCGGTTTATATCTCTTGCATGATGAGGACTGATGCTGTTGTGCAAGTTAAAGGACTCATCATCCTGTTAATAATAATTATTATTACAAAGTTTAACAGTAAATTTCATTCACAAGTAAATGTCTGCAAATGCTTCAATTCAGTGATTCTGTTTAATTTAAATTAAGTTTAAATGGAGATGCTCTATACTACTTTAGGGGTAATTCTGTTCATACTTCTAGAGTTTGCAATACCTGGATACTACAGAAATCCTAAGTTATGCCACTGATCAAGTAATGTAGAAATCAACCCCCATGCTCAGTCTTAAACTTTTTTCTACAAAGCTTCAAACATATCTTAAAATTCAAATTTATTATTTCTATAAGTATGAAAGGCAGCTTAAATAAGTTATCTGTTGAACTCACAAACAAGGTTCCTACTTAAATATCAGAGCCATATATGTCAGAACAGGTTTAAAAGCAAAAAGAGTTCTCAAGTTTGCTTAGTTTAAGGGGCAGGTCACAGCCAACTTACCTCAACCAGCAAATTAATCTGCCACAATTTCAGAAAGATTGGATACTGCTCTTTACATTCAGACAACAGTTTCCCCTAAATGCATCACAGCTTCTCAGGCTGTTGTTACAACTGTAACTTACTAGCCATGAAATAAGAACTAGGAAGAAAGTTTATTTAGAAAGCAGACTGTTTGGGGTCACTCAAATATTAAAAGCTCTTTAATTCTATAAATCAGAGATGTTTCCTTTAACTTTACTCATTCAGTAACTTGTAATTCTTATTTAGTAATGAGCCAAATAGCCTCAGAAGTCTTACCAACTGTCAAAACAAAGAATAGTATGAACATTATCCAGCTAACATCCTTTTGACAACAAAATCCCTAAACTTGGCATATAACAGCATTATCCATAGCAGGAGGCAACTGCTCAACCAGCCAGTTCTGCACTTGTACAAATTCATACTTCAGAGTCCACAATCAAGACCATCCATCATCATTCCTGTCCCACTCACAGTGCTGTCTCCAGAAATTTTAGAATGCTCAGCAAGAATTTCATAAGAACAAGTACCCAATAAACATATATTCACCTGTAAAATCATACACCTGAAGAATGCATCTCATATAAATCTCAAAATTAATAAAAATAGTAAATAATTTTAATCTTTTAGGGAAAAATAGCTTCCAAGCATGATTCAGCTGCTGATCATGATTTGTCTCATTATTTCAGAGGTGAAATCTGTTACTGCAGACAGTAACAGCAGCATCAATGGGGTCATGTCATAAAAAGTCTGTTACACAGTTATCTCCCTATCCATTCAGTTGCACACCATGCCTTAGACTGATGATCATTAAAATCAATGTTAGAAGTAGGACAACTATTAGTTACATGATTTTTTTTTAACATCTTTTCTGACCTGTTAGTTGTGGGAGGCGTGTCTAAAGGCACAGGGGATGTGCCGGGGCAGTGAGGCCCAAGAGAGCATGCCCCAAAATAAGTAACCTGGTTGGGTAAAGAAGTCACATAGTATGTAAGGATAAAGGAGCGCGGAGTTTGAAATAAAGTCTCTTTGTCCCACCACACACAAGGACCCCGCCGTTACAAATGGCGCCTGAACAGGGACTCTTTTAGCTTATATTAAGCCAGATATTTATCCTGAATCAGGAAATCAGCCGGTAGTTCCATTATCGTCTCAATTTTTCGGAGACGAGAACTTTTACCGCAAAAAACTTTGACGTCAGTAAACCTGTGGTCTCAGTGGCATCTGAGAAACGGAAAGTTAGTTTAGCGAGCTCCAAAAATATTAGAAAAGTGCACGATATAGAAGAGAAGAAAGAAGTTAAGAAGAAACCGAGAGGTCAAAGCAGCGACCGGACAGGGCAGAGGGTCCAACGCAACATCAAAAGCGGTGAGTCCAGCTGGAAGGCACCCCGCACGGCTAGGTCTGCCCCCTGAGCGACAGCGTGCCTGCAGCTCGGAGACCCCGGCCGCGGAGCACCTTAAAACCGCCAGGGAAAGCCTGCTGTCCACTCCCGCGGCTCGGCCAACTGGTAAGGCGGCTCTGCCGCTGCCGACTGCCACGACTGGACTACGTGCGCAAGCGGTTTCGCCGCTGCCGCCTCTTAACATCTCCAGCCACTGCCGGGCCCCCGTGGACCCCCGTTTCAGTTTCTGTTCAGCAGAAACTGCCGGAGCTCCCTGCCTACTTGCCGCCTCCGACCAGCTCCGCACTGAGCCTAAAAGCGTGCCGCTGCAAAACCCGCCGCACCACATTCAAACTGCGCCGGGACCTGCCGAAAGCGCCGCGCCACGCCTTCGCGCCGGGGACACCCGTGTTGCCCAGCGATCTGCCGGGACGCCGGAGCCACTGCCCGCGCGCCGCGGACGCCCCGCACAGAACCGCCGCTGCTGCAGCCCACCCCGAGGAACCCAGCCACCCCCCCGCCTGCCAACGCTCGTCGCAGAGCCTGCGCCCACGCCACGGACGCCCGCGCGCCGACCCTGCTCCGCGCCTGCCGTTCGCAGCCGCGCCAAGGACACCAGCCGCCGCCCACGCTGCTGGAGTAGCGCCATGCCCCCCCCCACGCCACAGCCGAAATAAACCCGGACCCCCACTGAGACGCCGAGAAAAAAAACCGCAGAGAAAAGACTGCCAGATAAACCGAAACTGCTACACAAAGGACCCCGAACACATGTGCTCCCAGTCGCTCGGAGATAAGGTAAACATAAGACTCTGTTTCCATAGAAACCTCATGAAACATTGAAACAAAACACAGACACAGGCGATCGCCAGCCTTTGCAACATAAATCAGTTTACTCCGTGATAAGTTCTGCCCTGCACGAGGCACACAGGGAGGAACGAAACAATCCACACCCCACCCCCCGCACACACTGCTGATAGCAACACAACACAACATAGTAATAGAAATTCACGAGACATACCGAGGGAAGGACGAGAGACGGGAGCCAGGGGATGCGAGTCGCTGGAAAGGGACAGAAATTGTCATACAAAGTTATAGTGAGTCAAATTTGAGATGTGTAGACCAACTGCAGTCTGCTTTAAACAAGCAAATTGAATACAATGAAACCAGAGAGATGCTGTACAAGCACTTGGCTTTTGAAAGGGAAAATGCAAGCTGGGAAAGAGCTTTGCAGAACCCTCCTACAGGGGAAGACTGCAACATTATTGAACTGGTACAACCCTACCAAAGAGCTAGCTCTGAGAAGCAGCTACCTACCTCTTTAACTGCAGCTTTAGATGCCCAGATAAGAGTACAGAAAGAAGTCAGACACACAGCTAGCTGTGTTAGTTGTGGAGACACAGATCACTCTCAGGAAGATTGTCCCTGGAAACCCCTAGTAGCAACATTTAATAAACAACCTAGCAGCAGAGAAATGACTGAGTTGTACCAAGGGTGCCATAAGCAAGGCAAAGGATATGCTGTGAGTATCATACTGACTGTAGGAGCATTACTCGCTGTAATCCTTTGTAGTTCCACCTTTCATGTGCAAAGGAGGAAACTACTTCAGGCAAGCCACAATATACCAATAACCAGCCCCCAAAATACCCGTGTTCTCTGTACCCCAAAGAAAGGTGACAGGTGGAAAACACTGCAAATGTTAACAGCAGAACACGCAGTCAAAAAACATGCAAAAGCCTTGCAGATTGAACTGCCTCTACCTATAAGGCTTCCAGCAAATTGGCAACTAGTGGTAACTAGTTCAAAAAACTATTCCTTTACCATCCTCCCTCACCCTGAGGATGCCCAGAAACCTTTCTTTCCCATCATGGCTTTAAACGATGCACAATCTATGCAAAGCCACTGCTGGGCTGCCCTTCCTCAGGGAATGCAAAATACCTCGATAAAGTATCAAACAGCCATAATACATCATTATGCAGAGGACACATTAATAACCACGGCCACAAGAAATGAACTGCTATTTGTTCTTACTGCTTTAACCAAAACCGCCCAAGATGCAGATCTTCAGGTTGTTTCAGGAAGAATCCAGCAACCACAACTCTGGACTTGCCCTGGACAGGAAAACGCAGCAAAAAAGTTCTACACAGCTGACACAGCTCGAGGTAAAAAACATTTATATTTACACGAGTTGCAGAAGCCTCAGAGAGCTGCCAATTGCTTAAAACCTGTTTTAACCATAACCACAGAGGACCTATACCCTTTCTTTGTGTTGCTAAAGAGGAACTCCAACCTAAAGTCTGACAAATCGCTAGCTGCAGAAGCAAACCAGATGTTAGAAAATTATACCAAGGTGATAGAAGGCAGACAAAACAGGAGAGATCCTAAGAGGCAAATCTGCCTAGTTCTTGTTTCCAGCAGGTATGAACTATTGCAGTTTTGTTTCAGTGGGATCGGACTGACAAGACCCACTGCAATTCTAAACAGCTTTTTCTGCCACACACACACCACCTAAAAAACTGTGTAAACTGCTCATGAGATGTTTGCAAGCTTGTCATTTAAGGCAGAGCATGACTGCGAGAATTAGACGGAAGAGATCTTGCCTTTACCAACGTTCCAGCTTTGAAGGACAATTTAAATAGGATGACAGCTGAGGACGCAAGACTCTAAGCTGCCCTGGCAAGTTTTGTGGTAATACTTTAATCCATCTCCCTAAGCACATATTGTGAGCAGACATCAATTTACCTTAAGAACCTTCACACATGCATCTAGGAAAACACAAAATACTGCAATAGCTTAAATAAATCCTGCCACTGAACAGTAGGAAAACTACAGGCCATGAACCAAGCTTCTGTATAGGTTCTGAAACTGATTGCCATTCATATTACCTTGGGAAAATTTTTAAACAATCCTCTGATGTTGTGACTATGTATATTATGCTATAAGGTTGATACCCCATCTTGAAAGTTAATTTCCTTGAGATATTGTTAACCCTTACCTGTTGTTTGAAATGCGTTCTGTTTGGTTCCTGGGATTTACAGAAGGTATGATTTCTATACAATACACACAAATCACATCCTGACATGCCACAGACAATAACTGACAGTAACTAAGAAGCTGCTAAAGCGGAAATGTTTAACACTATACCCAAACTTTTAAGGCAAGCAGATTGTCTCATTCATTTTCCATCAGAATACAGGTTCTCTAAAGAGACCATTCAAAATAACAATTAGTAAAAACTACATTATCAAGGTATACCCACACTGTCAGAAATCACACCCATGCCATCTCAAGAAAGCATTAACCCTAGAGAGTTAATGGCAAATGAGACCTAGCGAACAGATATACACATCTCTGAATTAGACATATTGAAAAATGTACATGCAAATAGATACACATACACAAAACATAACTGCTACTGCATCCACTAGACAAAACACAAGAGTGTAAAACATAATTGTTTAGCAACCTCGATACACTAAAATGAACTAACATTAATAATAAACGGCTACTTCCTATCAAATAAGAAAATTCTCATGTCACAAGCATTCCACACTAAACCATAAGACAGCAAAAGCACATCACACATTAAAACACATGCTAGATTTAAACAAAAAGGGGGAGAACTGGTGTAACCTGCAAGAACATCTGTAAAAGGCTATGTATGTTATCAATTATTGAGTTGTGACAGTGCTGAAAGAAGCAGGTCTGAAAAGCAGCACAAAACCCAAGCGTTTGTTTCTCCCAAGCTACTAGTCATGGTAAGAATTGATTTCAGAACAATGGACGAGATTCCTAGATTTTATGACATGAGGAGAAAGCTATGCCTATGCAGTCATAAGAAAAGAACTCAAGCAGATTTCTTCCAAGTGTGTAAAACCCTATTCAAATACGTGACCACAACAGCAGGAACCAGAGCAACGCAGAAGTTTGAAAAGAGTTATGTTATGTTTCAAGTTTATATTAGAAGATGACCAACGTGATAAAAAACAGTCTGAAATGTGCGTGTGTGTGTTTGTGTATGTGTGTACGGTGGCCACCGGTGAATGAGATGTATGAACGGAGTGAATGAATGAAAATAGTTGTTTGACTAGTCAAATAATAAAACGCAAAACACCTCACAAAACATTACCTCAGCCAAAGTCGCTTTTAAGAAATTTTAGTTTGCTAAGATTACCCTGTTTCTTAAATAAAATTAAAACACCCAGTTATAAAACCCCTCAGATTAATAAAGTTATAAGTTTATACACAGTTAAGATAAGCCCCAAGTTAATAAAGTTATCTCTCCAAGTTACACTACCCTATAGGAATATAAGAAAGTTTCAAAAAAGGTTTACAATAGAGTTAAGAAACTAAGCAAGCAATGTACTGAGTAATTGTGAAGCTTGGTAGTTTATAATGTTCTGACTGTTAAAATTGTTGTTTGCATTGTTGTTTGCACTGTTTTTGTGACTTCTTTAACATAATTAAAGGAGGGGATATGTGGGAGGCGTATCTAAAGGCACAGGGGATGTGCCGGGGCAGTGAGGCCCAAGAGAGCATGCCCCAAAATAAGTAACCTGGTTGGTTAAAGAAGTCACATGGTATGTAAGGATAAAGGAGCGCGGAGTTTGAAATAAAGTCTCTTTGTCCCACCACACACGAGGAGCATACTTCTTCCTTGTTATACAAGGACCCCGCCATTACAGTTAGTGAAACAGCAAGGGCAAGGAAGAGGATGCATGCACTTACTGAATAACTCCAGGCTATGCGATACCTGTCCAAGGACATTACAATTTTCACTACTAAACACCCCCCCCCACACATACTGCTTCTGAAAATCAGGGACAACAAAATGCATTTTACATAAGTATCATGAAGATATTAAGAACTCAATACAATTTCAGGAACAGAAATTCTCACCAAATTCATGTTCAGAATTCTGACGCTCAAGACAGTGTTTCCCATGATCTTTTTAATTTTAAATCAAAATTTTCTGTATTTCTGAAACACGGATGAACAGCATTTCCCCCAACATCCATCTCAGGGTGCTCAGCCATAAAATACCTAATGGAAAGATGCATACCTTTTCCAACTGACACATACAGCTAAGTTGTACGGTCCCATTAGAACAAATTTTATTTTGCCCAAAATAGGAACTGGGTCAGAAAAGTGAATCTTTACTTTTATGAGCAATGCATACTGGCACTGTTTCTTTTTTCATGTATCTGAATAACTCTTCCTCAAAACCACTCATTTTATTTGTCTGGCTGATTTGTAATTTGTGCCCCTTTATTTTGTTTACACTTTAAATCACTCATTTAGAGCAAACATAGGCTTTTAATCACCTCATCCTGAATAATACATTTCTTCACTTGGACTATGTGTGATAAATATGCTTATGGTTTGTTGGTGGCTGATAGCTCTGACAAAAATATTCTCAGATGCCAGCTATGCACTGCATAAACTGATTCAAATTGAAAGAAAACTGACACATAATATTATACATAGTATAGACCTCCAAGTTCTCAATTAGGAAGTAAAACCAGGTTCTTTATATATACATAAATCAAACTACTGCCCCTATGACTAGACCAAGAATAGAGAACTTTTGACTATCTAAACACTCCAATTAGAAAGGAAATGGTTTAAGAAGCAGAACCAAGTTTTTCCATTAATTGTTCTAGGATAACTAACAGCCAAGGTGTGAAACACTGCCCTCCACAAAGATTAGGTTAGTGTACTTTATTGTTGCTAATAAACTCAAAAACATCTGTTTCTAACATGCATGAACAGATACTGCAGAAAGAAAAAAAAACCTAAGAAGCACTGAAGAAAGAGTAGTACTTGGAGCAACTTTTAAAAATTCATCAAAAGGTAATTACTTTCCTTCATTTAGAGATCAAGACCATGACTTAACAGCTGTTTACAGCCAAATAAAAAGTAGTTTATGTTTGGTCTGAGAACTGTTACTGCTGGATCAACAAAAGTATGAACAAAACTACCTTCTCTTGCCCAGCATGATTCTTGTCTTCACGTTCCTCTTCCACTCTATCTTGTTTCAATGCTTTCAAAAATTCACTCTTATCATTCCGCATTCTTGTCAATTTTGTTAAACGAGGCTGACCAACTTTGTCAATAGGGGATGATAAATTTGACCAATTGCACTAATGTAGGGGAAGGTTAGAAAAAAAGAAAAAAATATTAGAAGTCTATTCATTTAGAAAACTTTGAATGAAAGACAAAGACTCACAGGCACCTGTAGTTTCAGGTTTCATGTATATCCACAATAAAAAGTAGAGGGGAGATATAGTTCTTAGATGTAACCCCAGAGATGAAGGTTTACGAAGCCTTGCTGACAAACTGAACCTTTTGAAGTGTTCACACTATTAGCAGTTTTGAACTTTAAATCTACCAGGTTATCCTTCCAATGCACCATTTTTGCTCCAAATCAAACTTACAAAGCAAATACTGCAGTGCTTAAAGGCCAGTGATGTACCTTCCATATTTCTCTCTTCCACACTAACTTCCACAAAAATAAACTTATTTAATATAGTTCTCCATAAATCTTACTGATCCAGTTATCCAACCAACCAAATCTAAAATTTGATAGATTTGATAAAAACTACAGACATTGCTTTACCTCTTTTATTGAATTCTGTGATGCAGTAAATGCCTTGGCAGTTGATTTGAGAGGACTGAAATTGCCAATACCATATGCAGATTCATGAGAAAATGGATTCCAAAGTTTATTTTCTTTTGCTTGGTTTTTCCACTGTGTAAGATAAACAAAAGTTTTAACAAAAATTTAGAGAGCCATTAACTACAACAGGATTATTTTCAGGAATATTTAGAAAAAATGATTAAACAAAAGCAAATCATAACTACAACCATAATTTAGAGTAAATGCCTGTTTTATTGTGGAAAAGAGACTGTTTATGAGCAATTAATCCTCTCTTACAAGTACTGTTTACACTTTTTATATAGAGATAAATTTACAAACAATTCAGATACTAATATTTGAAGTATTAAGAACCAAACACATAAGACTTTAAGAGCTGAAAGTAGTGTTTTTAATGTAGTATGTTAAGAGAGTTAAGAACAGTTCCATCAGATGTTCTCAGGAGCACAGAAAAATTCCTGAAACAAAATCAAAATATGAACATGGAAAGTTGCATATGGAGAGGGACCAAAATGACACTAAGCACATCCATATCAATAATTGGGAAAAATTCTGGAGGTACTTTTTTGCAAACTATAGTTTTCCACTAGGTATCTTTTTCTGTTAAAAACATATATACAAAAGGCATTTCTATTGTCTAAGTTAAAACATCCCTTTCACTCTCCCTTAGATACCTCTTGCACTTCTCAAAAAAAGGTAAATAAGAAACAGAGAGAGACAATTACAGTATAGTTTAAAAAGAAAAATGGGGAAAAGTTACTTTCAGAGTGTTCTGCACTTAGCAAGATTTGAAAGCATAATACTCTAGGAACAGTACTCTCAGGGGTGAAATAAGCACATTCAGAATTAGAGCATGATTTTCTTTCAGCATGTTGTTCATGTTGCCAGTATCCAAGACTCACCTTTGTGGGTGAAGTAGCAGGTTTAGGGATTAATCCTTTATAAACACTCGTGCCAGTTCCATTCTTTACTGTCTGTGAATGAAGACTTCCTACTATAGGGAATCCAGGTATCTGCAGTTCTTTTGTACTGCTCTTTTTAATGACCAGCATTCTCGGAGATCTAGATTTAGGATTCAAAGGGTAATCTGGGGGGAAAAAAAAAGAAGTGAAAAAGTGTGTATGTGTGTATATCTATATATATATAGATATATGTGCATGTGTATATATTATTAAGTTCCTAGTTCATAGGGTACTGGATAGCCATATAGTCCAGAGCAAACAGGCATAAATCAGAAACCTGGTATAGTATTAGTTCCCCAAATAACACACTGTACAAACCTGGGTAAAACCTTGTTCTGTTCCATTTTCCACAACCCTCTTTTAAAAATATTTTACTTGGAAATGCAGGAATTTTACTTTCAGAAAATAAAGTGTGGTCGGTTGACTCTGGCTGGATGCCAGGTGCCCAACAATGCCACTGTATCACTCCTCTCCTCAGCTGGACAGGCGAGAGAAAATACAACAAAAAGCTCATGGGTCAAAATAAAGACAGGGAGAGATCACTCACTGATTATTGTCACGGGCAAAACAGACTTGACTTGGAGAAATTAACTGAATTTATTACCAATCAAATCAGAGTATGATAATGAGAAATAACCCCAAATTTAAAAACACATTTCCCCCCTTCCTCCCTTCTTCCTGGGCTTAACTTTACTCCTCTCCCCTCCAGTAGCACAGAGGGATAGGGAACAGGTGTTGCAGTCAGTTCATCCCACATTATCTCTGCCACTCCTTCCTCCTCAGGAGGAGGACTCCACACTCTTCCCCTGCTTCAGCATGGGGTCCCTCCCACAGGAGACAGTCCTCCACAAACTTCAACATGGGTCCTTCCCACAGGCTACAGTTCTTGATGAACTGCTCCAACATGGTCCCTTCCATGGGGTGCAGCCCTTCAGGAACAACCTGCTCCAGCGTGGGTCCCCCACACACAGGGTCACAAGTCCTGCCAGCAAAACTGCTCCAGCATGGGCTCCTCTCTCTATTGTCCGCAAGTCCTGCCAGGAGACTGCTCCAGGACAGGCTTCCCACAGGGTCACAGCCTCTTTCAGGCACATCCACCTGCTCCAGAGTGGGGTCCTCTATGGGCTGCAGGGGAATATCTGCTCTACCATTAATCTCTATGGGCTGCAGGGGCACAATCTGCCTCACCATTGCCTTCACCATGGGCTGCAGGAGAATTGCGGCTCTGGCACCTGGAGCACCTCCTCCCACTCCTTCACTGACTTTGGTGTCTACAGAGTTGTTGCTCTCACATATTGTCACTCCTGATAGCACCTCACAGGTGTGCTGTCACCCTGGCAATTCCGCAGAGACACAAATCACTGCAATGTGCTGGGGCCTGGCCCAGGTCTACCAAGGCATGTTCAACACTACTCAGTACCCTCAGGGGGAACATGTTGTCTCTGAATCTGACAATAATACAACAGGCCCTGCAGCTATTCAAACTGCAGTGACAGACACTGCAGCTGAACCAGAGAACCAACCCATGCTGGTATCAGTAGCCCCTATACACAAGAAGAAATGTACATGAAAGTCATCTTGTGAAAGAGCCTTAATAAAGGAGAATAAGGAGGGCGAAGATGGCAAAGCAGCAGAGCTATCACAAGGGCCATCCCAGGAACAGGAAGAAGAGACAGAAGAGGTAAGCACTACTTGATCCCTATCCTTGAGTGAGCTGTGGGAGATATGAAAAGATTTAGGTGAGCACCTGGCTGTTCTGATGCTGGGATAACAGGGCTAGCAGTTTGGAATTAGAGGGTAAGGAAGCCAAGCAGTTGGAATCACTTTCTAAGGAAGCAGGCATTGACAAAGCAATGGGAAAAAAGACACAAGCCCTTAGCCTCTGGAGGCCACTCCTGTCAAGCATGAGGGAAAGGTATCCTACAAGATGATATTCCGTGTCAGCCAGGCAAATTAACTGCAATAGAGAAAGGTATCCAATACCTGAGGGAATTAGCCATGCAAGAGATGATTTATTATGACCCAAACAATGTGCAGTTCCTGACAGATCCAGATGAAGTCTTATGCCTACGACCCACATGGCAGAAATTTTCAGAGTGCACCAATGGTACATGCCAACCCCTTGGAAATATTAATCTGGAAAGACAACGTGCCACCAACAGTGGATGAAGCAATTTGTCAAATCCAGGAATATGAAGACAGTATTTCTTCCTCCCTTATCTCAGCTGTGGAGAAACTATCAGATAAATTGACCCAGGAGTTCCATCAATTCAGAGAGGATATGTGCTACTCCCCACCTGTATGGACCCACATCTCAGTGATTGACAGGAGGCATCCTTTCTCTCAAGAGAATATAGAAAGTACACACCATGGGATACCCTGTGGTTTCACCTGCAAGACCACAGAGAGGAGATGAGGAAATGGGATGGAAAACATACCTAAAGCATAGAGGCATAGGGACATAAATTGCAAGGAAAAACAATCACAAATGGAGTTGCTGCTCTGGTATCCAGTGGGCAGTTCCACAGGCAGAGTGGAAGGGATGATTTTTACTCCGGATCGTATGGGAAGAAATTCTAATCCATTTCTACAAGAAGTAAGTGGAGAAACCTATGACCAGGACTATAGGGGTCCTGCCTCCAGCCAAGTGAAGGAGAGGGACAACCAGGCTTACTGGACTGTGTGGATCTGATGGCCTGGCACAATAGCCCCACAAGAGTATAAGGCTTTAGTAAACACTGGTGCACAATGTACCCTGATGCCATCAAGATATGTGGGGGCAGAATCCATCTCTATTTCTGGGGTGACAGGGGGATCCTACAGCTGGCTGTACTGGAAGCTGAAGTGAGCCTGACTGGAAACAAATGGCAAAAACACCCCATTGCATCTGGCCCAGAGGCCCCGTGTATCCTTGGCATAGAGTACCTCAGGAGAGGGTATTTCAAGGACCCAAAAGGGTGGGCTTTCAGTATAGCTGCCTTAGAGACATGAAATTAAGCAGCTGCCTACCTTGCCCGGTCTCTCAGAGGACCCTTCTGTTGTGGGACTGCTGGAGGTCAAAGAACAACAGGTGCTGATCATGGCAATATTTCACCAACCCAGACTACCTGATTCCCATCCATAAGCTAATTCACTGACTGGAGAGACAAGGAGTGATCAGCAGGACCTGCTCATCCTTTAACAGTCCCATATGGCCCATGAGAAAGTTGAATGGAGACTAACAGTAGACTATTGTGGCCTGAATGAAGTCACGCCGCCTCTGAGCACTGCTGTACCGGACATGCTAGAACTTCAATATGAGCTGGAGTCAAAAGCAGCCCAGTGGTGCCACCACTGACATTGCTAATGTGTTTTTATCAATACCTCTGGCAACAGAGTCCAAGCCACAGTTTCCTTTCACTTGGAGGGGTGTCCAGTATACCTGGAATCGACTGTCCCAGGGGTGGAAATGCAGCCCAACCATCTGCCATGGATTGATCCAGATTGCACTGGAAAAGAATGAAACTCTGGAACACCTGCAATATATTGATGACATCATCATGTCAAGACAGCAGAAGTTTTTAAGAAAGGGAAGAAAATAGTCCAAATCCTTCTGAAAGCTGGTTTTGCCATAAAACAAATTAAGGTCAAGGAACCTGCACAGGAGATCCAGTTTTCAGGAATAAAACGGCAAGATGGATGTCATCAGATCCCAATGAATACGATCAACAAAATAACAGCAATGTCTCCACCAACTCATAAGAAAGAAGCACAAGCTTTCCTAGGTGTTGTGGGTTTTTGGAGAATGCACATTCCAAATTACAGTCTGATTGCCAGCCCTCTCCATCAAGAGACCAGGAAGAAGAATGATTTCCAATGAGGCCCTGAACAATGACAAGCCTTTGAACAAATCAAACAGGAGATAGTTCATGCAGTAGCCCTTGGGCCAGTCAGGACAGGGCAACATGTGAAAAATATGTTCTACACCACAGCTGGGGAGAATGGCCCTTGGCAGGAAGCACCAGAGGAGACTTGAGGTCGACCCCTCAGCTCTTGGAGTCAGGGATACAAAGGATCTGAAGCCCACTATACTCCAACTGAAAAAGAAATACTGGTAACTTATGAAGGGCTTCGAGCTGCTTCAGAGGTGATTGGTACTAAAGCACCACTCCTCCTGGCACCCTGGTTACCTGTGTTGGGCTGTGTTTATCTTTCTCTCTCTCCTATTTATTGCTACTGGTTTTGTTATTACATTATATTTTATTTTGTTTCAATTGTTGGACTGTTCTCATATCAACTCACGAGTTTTACTTTTTATTTTCCTGATTCTCCTCCCCATCCCACTGTTGGGGGGGGGGAAGGTGGGCAAGCAGCTGTGTGCTGCTTGGTTGCTGGCTGGGGTTAAACCACGACACAGAGTCACCATATCCTACATTTTAAAAAGCCATCTTAAAAGTGTAAGTGATTTTAGCTTTGTTTAGCAGGTCGATGTTACAAAACATTTTTGATAACTGTATATTTAGCTCTCATTAAAATTTATGAAAAGATTATTCATGGTACTCACATGCTTCCATCCCATATACACAAGGTAAAATGGAATCTAACAGAAGTATATGTTTTTAATAGTCATTAAAAGGGGACTGTTTTGAATATTAAATTTCCTTTAAGAGGGAATAAGAACAGCCTTAATTTCAGATTTTCAATCAGAAAACAAGGCTTGCAATAGCAGAACTGTAATAAAGTAAGATACCAAGCTGTAAGCTGTAACAAACTGCTGCATGCTAACTTACAGATCCATGTAGCTAATAGAACCATTTCTTCCTTTGCTTGTGAAGAGTGATACCTAGAAAGTCTGGAAACCTTGCTCTCCTTCATAACAAATTGAGCCACATCATGCAGCAGCCACTGCCAGAGGGCTGCAAAGGTTTTAAAACACTTGAGTTGCTATATAATTTTCCATAACTTGGTTAGGAAAAAAATTTAGCTATTGTTACTCTTATTGAAAGATAACTATTTCCTGACTTTTGCATGAAAGCTGCTAAAAGAACAAAAATAGAAAGCAGTACTATTGTTTAGGCTCCTGCAAAAGTTCTTAGCAATTATATATTTATAGAGGGGTTGGCCTACACCTAGTGTTACCTAGGAA